GAGTTAGGGAGCGCTGCATTTGTGAAAAACTCCCCTCTTCCTAAACCACTAATACCACAGTACTGGCAAAACGGGAGGAGCCGAGTGAAAAACAAGCGCCCCTCATCCCAATCCACCCACACCGCAGTATTGTTTTCTTTTTTTTTTACCCCAAGAATATATTGTATATTATCGGGGCTATTAATACTGTTATCGGGAGGACGTCATAATTCCTAATATCGGACCGATAATTATCGGGCCGATAATTATCGTGCACCACTAGTCTAAACTAAATGCTGCCGTGATGAAACGCCATATCATGGATTATCAAGGATCTGAAACAGTTTGGAGCTCAAAGGCTTTCTCTCTTGCTGGTTATACCACAAGGTGAGTTCCTTTTTACTTCCTGCTTCTTCACACACATGCTCTCCAGTACAGGTTAGCTCTGAGTGTTAGCGATGCTAATGTAAACACCGACCATATTACGTCCAAAAACAGTCGGGCATTGTTTCTGATAGCAACGTTTCTGATTGGGCCGTGGGTCCACATTTCAGATATTACGTCATATCGGACGCAAATCTGGATCAGCTCCGTTGTTCCCCGTTTTTAGAGATTTGGGTACGGAGGAAAAGAGAGAGGGTTTTATTTTCTGACGCTGCGTGAGTTCCCCGACACACCGGGGACACATGGTGATGGAGAGAAGACATCAGAAAGTGCATTTTGCATGATGGGTCCCCTTTAAACTATCATAATCAGCACTTAAAATCATCATGTAATCATTGATACTGGGAGAAATGATTGCAGGGAATATGATTAGGGTCATAACGTGTGCAATAAAAGTCACCACCAATTCAAAAAAGCTTTTTAACTAAACCATTAACATCTAGTATCTGTAGTTTAACATATAAGTGGAAGAATGTAATACATAAGCATATATTAAGGTACATCTGTTTTACTCACATAGGAAGTCATTTTTTCAGTCAACATGTTAGTTTTCTATCATCTAACAAATGATAGGAAACAAATTGTAAGAACATTTTTAAATATGTGGTAAGGGAATATTAACCCCGATCGGTTTGTAAACAAAAAAGTAAATCAAAACTCATTATCTAAATATCTTTTTTTAATTTGAATTATTTTTTAAAGCCAGCTGGGATCTTCCTTTATTCACAACAATCCTAATTTGAGTTTTCTTCACACACACACACACACACACACACACACACACACACACACACACACACACACACACACACACACACACACACACACACACACACACTCACACACACACACACACACACACACACACACACACACACACACACACACACACACACACACACACACACACACACACACACACACACACACACACACACACACACACACACACACACACACACACACACACCTGTTGTGTTTTCACGATGAACTCTCCTCCTGCAGCGTCACTTTCGTCGCTGCAGCTGTGATCCTGAGCGTTCCACTGACAGCGCCACTCACTGGTCACACACGCTATACACCTGCAAACACACACAGTATTAAATACACACACACACATGATTTAAGACTGAGAATGTGTGTGTGTTAATGGTATATCTCACGGTGTGTTCTGGTTCTTCCTGACTGTCGCAGCACAGTTGTAGAAGTGATACTCTCCGGACGTCACCTCGATGTTATCGTTCACTACGACTTTAACTGGGACGGACACGTAGTCTGAAAATAATTAAATCATGCAGTTTATAGGTTTTTAAAGGAATAAGAAAAGAGGTATACATCTACTTATTCTACTATTGGAAAGGAAGTAAATAGGCTTACAGTATTACCCAAAATATTAAATAATTTCTCCATCTTTTTTTAGGTTTAAATGCAATTTCAACTATTAAAAAATGTGATAATTGATAATTTTTTTCACAGTTTTTTCAAACTTACTGGGTCATTTTGAACAAAGACATATACATTGTGTTGCTCCCATAAAAACATGGTAAACATTTTTTTTTGATTAGACATGTTTGTCGTCTCAATGCAAAAAAAAAAATGAAATTAAAACTTAAATAAAAATAATTAAAAAAATAATTAAATAAATTAAACACAAGAAAAATATTTCTTAAATGTAAGTAAATCAAAAAGAAGACAATGAAATCAAATACAAATAATTAAACAAATCGTACTGTCAGAATATATTATCCCATGAATACATTAAAGCGTTTCCTACCCTGCTGCTGGGTGGGGGGGGGGATGTCCACGGGGTCGGGCAGCGCACATGTGACCTTCCTGTCCTCAATCACCACGACCCCCTTGGTCACAAACGTCCCAAATTTACAGTGAAGCCAGTCGGTGGGCTGGAGCGTCGGGAGCGCCGGGATGTGGATATCCACCTGACCAGAGGAAGGACATTAAAGGGGTCTCTTTGTGGTCATTTTGTAGACTTTTTAGGGTCTTGAGTCGTTCTGGTGGTTTTAGGGTTTACCTTGTGGACATTTTGATTCTTTTTATAATTGTTTGTTTTTATTTATGGTCTTTTGGAGTCTCTTGGCTTCCTACGCCGATTTCATTTGAGTCAGATTTGGGTAAAATATGTCAGGTTTCAGAGCAAAAACCTCCAAGTTTCAGGTTTTAAGTTGCAAGTCTTATTCTGTAATGCTGGTTTATTTCTATTTTGAGATGTTTCTATTTTTAAATTGTTTATTTCTACTATTTTAATTTGTTATTATGTTGTTGCAACACATATTTTTCCCAAATTGGGATTAATAAAGTACATTTGATCTTATCTGCAGCCCTTGATGCATCGATGTACCTACAGCCTGTTAGAAGGACAACCCCCAAAGTGAACTCCTTGGACTTCCAGAGGATGTCTGCTTGGAGTGACTCTCTGAATGACTCATCCTTTCCCAGAACAATCAGAGAGTGGAACCAGAAGAAGCTGTCCTTACAGAGTCCTTGGCGTTCTTCCAGCTAATTTTAAAAATACATTCAATGGGGATTATTCACCCCCCACTGAGCGAGACACCTCTGGGTTTTACTCAGATCCATTCATCTTTTTGTAGATTGTAGTCCTTTTGTGTGTCTAATTCTTAGTAGTTTTGCATCTCTTGTGAGTCGTTTAAAGATTCTTTAGGTCTCATTTTGCAATACGGTATATATACCGCAATGTTGAACTGTTTAACAATTAAAAAATGTATAGGAATATCCATGTTTGGCTATTTTTGGCCAATCAATTAAATACTTGACAATGTACTTCATCACTGCAAATCCAATATTACTGAATATGCAACATCGCAAACACTGACCTACAGTGACACCTCCAGGGATAGAGGTCACAAAGCAACGCTAACGAACAATACAATTAACTAATTACTATAAAGGATAACTCTGAGGTACCTGTATCTTCCTTTTTCTGATGAACTACTTCTATATTTTCCTTCAACTCTTTATATATAAACAAATAATGTGCATGTGGACTATAATGTATCTATACAGTGAATGAAACCAAAGTGTACAAATAAGGTCACAAAGTAGAACTAATTATCTTAAAATGGATATGAAACGTTACCACAATAATAATAGTAATAATAGTTAAAAGAAAGTCAAATAAATAATAATAATACAATAATAGGGAGCAGTGTGTGTGTGTGTGTATGTATGTATGTATGTATGTATGTGTGTGTGTGTGTGTGTGTGTGTGTGTGTGAGTGTGTGTGTGTGTGTGTGTGTTAATGAGCAAGAAAAAGATGTGTGTGTGTAAGTAAGAGAAAGATAAATACAAATCCATTCCCTACCGGCTGACCTTGATAAATAGTGTGTTTGACTGTCTGTCTGTGTGTGTGTGTGTGTGCGTGTGTGTGTGTGTGTGTGTGTGTGTGTGTGTGTGAGTGTGTGTGTTAATGAGCAAGACAAAATGTGTGTGTAAGTAAGAGAAATACAAATCCATTCCCTACCGGCTGACCTTGATAAATAGTTTGTCTGTGTGTGTGTGTGTGTTTCGTCATTGTGTGTGTGTGTGTGTGTGTGTGTGTGTTTCGTCATTGTGTGTGTTATGTCATTGTGTGTGTGTGTGTGTGTGTGTGTGTGTGTGTGTGTGTGTGTGTGTGTGTGCAGTAATAATTACTATTCAAACTGAGCTGTTTAAACATCAGCTCTCATTAGTCCTCGCTGACCTCTGCAGGTTTTAATTTCCCCGCTGAAGTTTTAATTTCAAACTTTTTGATCTTCGGTGACGGAGAGAAGCTCCTCAATGAATTCACCGGAGACTTCCTTCCTCCTAAATAAAATGTAAACCTGGAAGAAGTTTTTCCTTTAGAGCTGAAATCCCTCCTTCTTATCAGATTAAAAATCATAAACTAGTCCCGAACTCCCTGATTACGATGCAGCGGATCCGTCAGGAGATTATCTCGTTAGCGGAGGTCAAACTGTTGCCTCAAACCAGCGTCTTCCTCCCAGGATTAACACCAAATTAAATCCAAATGAAAACGTTTAGGAGTGCGAATGTGCATTTTTTCTGTAACTGGGATTAAAAACAATATTGGAAGCATGTTATGATGCATAATGACATTTTAAAATCCCAATAGGCGCGTTCACACCGCAGTACTTTTCCCACTTTAGTTCCGATATAGTTCCGAAATGTCGCGTTCACACCAAAAAGAGCCGGAACTAAAATTAGTTCATGAGAACCTTTTCACCGCCTTTTCCGTCCCTGCTAGAGAGCAGGGACTTTCGTGGGAGAAAAAGGTTCCTATGTCTGATTGGCTGGGAGGATTGCAAACCACGCCCCGTAAAACTCCCAAAAAGTTTTGTGAAGCCGCCATTTTATTATCCTCGAATTAGCATTATTAGCATTAGCATTAGCCCAGCGCAGAAACGCAGAGAGACTAATTTATGGCAACACAAAATAAAACATGGGAGCGGTGGAGATGAGGAGGTGTCGGCGTTCTGGCGATTTACTCGGAAGGCTTCAGTAGAAGCTGCTGGGACTCCCAGCAGCTTCTACTGAAGCCAGTCCCCAACTCCGGGGACTTCCGGCCGGGGACTTCGGGCGGCAGTATACGCCGTGAAGTGGTTTGCGGCCTGCCAGTAAACCCAAAGCAGAAGAAGAAGAAGAAGTGACGTCAGTGGCTTCATTTGCCTAATCCACCCTCAGGGAATTTATTCCGGTGTGAACGCGATCTGTACTCATGAACTAAGTTCTCATGAACCTTTGTGGGAAAAGTACTGCGGTGTGAAAGCGCCTATTGATATAAGCAGAGAAGCTAATTTAAGAGTTAACTGTTAGTCAAGTAGTAAAAAAACTCAAAAAACGTACTTAAAACATATTTCTTTCTAGTTTAGCGTCAGTTCAGAAGTCAGATGTTAACAGGTTTAAATGGAGTGACAGATTGTGTGTTCAGTATGTAGATGAGTGATTTATACAGTCATCAGACATGCAAACATTATGTCTGCACGGTAATTACAATCAGGTCAGACTATAATAAACAATATGCAAATAGAAGAAGGTGAGTGCAACTGTGAAAACTTTGTTTGGAGTTTTCTGTCGGTGTTTAAAACCTTAAAATATATAAACAATAATAACTAAATTAAAGGGGCCTTGTTCTTTTAGGGTTTTTCCCTTTCTTCATATCTCCTTTCCTTGCTCCAGAGTATCCTAAAGGAGATAACCATGGCTCTTATCATGGTTAAGTAATCTTAATTCAAACCTCCTGAAACTCTCTCACTGTGTTGTCAGCAGGTTTCAAACCGGTTCCTAACCTCTGGTGCGTGGACCCTCTAGGGGCCGCCTCGGGGAAGGTTGCTAAAGGAATAACGACATTTGGTGACATTTAGATTTAGATGCTGTTTTGGGGTGAGAGCCAGATGCATACAATCTGAATTATTTCTGCTGACAGTCGCTGATTCAGCTCATAGAAGTGGAATAATGCCGAGTCACTCCCACAAAGTGCTGATCACTCTGATGAGTCACATGTGAGAAACAGCTAAAACACAAGACTGTGTGTCATTAGTGACCTGCTCACGTTACTTTAAAGAGTCCTCTCTTGCTGATGTTCAGGTGTATATCAGTATGTAGTGTCTCTACTTTAAAGAGTCCTCTCCTGCTGATGTTCAGGTGTATATCAGTATGTAGTGTCTCTACTTTAAGAGTCCCTCTCCTTGATGATGTTCAGGTGTATATCAGTATGTAGTGTCTCTACTTAAAGAGTCCTCTCCTGCTGATGTTCAGGTGTATATCAGTAGTAGTGTCTCTACTTTAAAGAGTCCTCTCCTGCTGATGTTCAGGTGTATATCAGTATGTAGTGTCTTCTACTTAAAGAGTCCTCTCCTGCTGATGTTCAGGTGTATATCAGTATGGTGTGTCCTCTACTTTAAAGAGTCCTCTCCTGCTGATGTTCAGGTGTTATATCAGTATGATAGTGTCTTCTACTTAAAGAGTCCTCTCCTGCTGATGTTCAGGTGTATATCAGTATGCTAGTGTCTCTACTTTAAAGAGTCCTCTCCCTGCTGATGTTTCAGGTGTATATCAGTATGTAGTGTCTCTACTTTAAAGAGTCCTCTCCTGCTGATGGTCAGGTGTATATCAGTATGTAGTGTCTCTACTTTAAAAGAGTCCCTCTCCTGCTGATGTTCAGGTGTATATCAGTATGTAGTGTCTCTACTTAAAGAGTCCTCTCCTGCTGATGTTCAGGTGTATATCAGTATGTAGTGTCTCTACTTTAAAGAGTCCTCTCCTGCTGATGTTCAGGTGTATATCAGTATGTAGTGTCTCTACTTTAAAGAGTCCTCTCCTGCTGATGTTCAGGTGTATATCAGTATGTAGTGTCTCTACTTTAAAGAGTCCTCTCCTGCTGATGTTCAGGTGTATATCAGTATGTAGTGTCTCTACTTTAAAGAGTCCTCTCCTGCTGATGTTCAGGTGTATATCAGTATGTAGTGTCTCTACTTAAAGAGTCCTCTCCTGCTGATGTTCAGGTGTATATCAGTATGTAGTGTCTCTACTTTAAAGAGTCCTCTCCTGCTGATGTTCAGGTGTATATCAGTATGTAGTGTCTCTACTTTAAAGAGTCCTCTCCTGCTGATGTTCAGGTGTATATCAGTATGTAGTGTCTCTACTTTAAAGAGTCCTCTCCTGCTGATGTTCAGGTGTATATCAGTATGTAGTGTCTCTAATTTAAAGAGTCCTCTCCTGCTGATGTTCAGGTGTATATCAGTATCTAGTGTCTCTACTTTAAAGAGTCCTCTCCTGCTGATGTTCAGGTGTATATCAGTATGTAGTGTCTCTACTTTAAAGAGTCCTCTCCTGCTGATGTTCAGGTGTATATCAGTATGTAGTGTCTCTACTTTAAAGAGTCCTCTCCTGCTGATGTTCAGGTGTATATCAGTATGTAATGTCTCTCCTGTGACATGTCTCCATGCTTTAATGTTCAGCTGCAGCACCTCTTTTCACCCTCTGTCTGAAACCAGAGCCCAGTCTGCTCTGATTGGTTAGCTGGCCGGCTCTGTTGTGATTGGTCAACCAGCTTAGAGATGTCCCGCCCCTTACGTACAGTGTGTCTCTTACCTGCTGTGTTTTCCTGCAGCTGAGGTTGGGGGGGTCGAAGGCTTTGATCTGAACACACTTCTGATTGGGAGACCACAGCCAGGTGTTGTTGTCCCTCCACCTGCTGCACTCCTTCCTCCTCGTGCACCTGTCCAACAAGCAGAGGGTGAGCAAATCAAACATACCCAAGGGTGGAAGGCACCCATTCGAAATGTTGTTTCATTTTAAAATCAAAAATAGACAAGTGTTTCCTGTAGATATTTAATTGCCCTTTTTACTGCACGGTTAGTGTACAGTTTTATTCTTATGCTGCTGTGTTTATTGTGTTTTTGTAACTCTGGCACAACAATCTCCTTCGGGATAAATAAAGTCCTATCTTATCTGAAGTGTATGGAAAAACTATTAATGTTTATATAGAGCTTTAGAGACTCACTTCCCCTCGAGGACACACCAGCCGCAGTACGGGTCCTTCATGGAGACGCAGGACAGACAGTCTGTCTTCAGGTGGCAGGACTGCACCGGCACCTTGGAGATCTGCACACAGGAGAGAGAGAGGCTTTTATTGTGAAAATCTCAGACAATTCCTGTTGTCTCTGTTTTCGGCAGAGATGGCAAAAGTACACACATCCTTTCCTCAAGTACAGATACTCGTGTTTAAAAATACTCTGGTAAAAGTAGAAGTACTGACTAAACTTCTTTACTCAAGTAAAAGTAAAGAACTTTGAAATGTACTTCAGTAAAAAGTACCCATAACTAGCAGCTGCTTTAAAGAGTACCTGACCTCCCTTTATATTAATAGAACAATAATGTCATTGTTAGCTAATGAATGTTTCCATGCTGAACAACGGCAACATGACAACGTTTCCATTGGTCCCTCTTCTTTAGAGAAGACCAGGAAATGATGGATACACGGATCGTGTTCAAATCAATAGGCACGCAATGACTCTAAAGAATAATGATCACGCATCAAACACACATTCAGACTAAAGGAACCAGCTGTTTGGAAAATGAGAGAAGTAGAAAGTACAAGTATTTGAGTTCAACATGTAAGAAGTAGAAAGTACAGGTATTTGAGTTCAACATGTAAGAAGTAGAAAGTACAGGTATTTGAGTTTCAACATGTAAGAAGCAGAAAGTACAGGTATTTGAGTTCAACATGTAAGAAGTAGAAAGTACAGGTATTTGAGTTCAACATGTAAGAAGTAGAAAGTACAGGTATTTGAGTTCAACATGTAAGAAGCAGAAAGTACAGGTATTTGAGTTCAACATGTAAGAAGTAGAAAGTACAGGTATTTGAGTTCAACATGTAAGAAGTAGAAAGTACAGGTATTTGTGTTCAACATGTAAGAAGTAGAAAGTTCAGGTATTTGAGTTCAACATGTGAGAAGTAGAAAGTACAGGTATTTGTGTTCAACATGTGAGAAGTAGAAAGTTCAGGTATTTGGGTTCAACATGTATGAAGTAGAAAGTACAGGTATTTGAGTTCAACATGTATGAAGTAGAAAGTACAGGTATTTGAGTTCAACATGTAAGAAGTAGAAAGTACAGGTATTTGAGTTCAACATGTAAGAAGTAGAAAGTACAGGTATTTGAGTTCAACATGTAAGAAGTAGAAAGTACAGGTATTTGTGTTCAACATGTGAGAAGTAGAAAGTACAGGTATTTGTGTTCAACATGTAAGAAGTAGAAAGTTCAGGTATTTGAGTTCAACATGTGAGAAGTAGAAAGTACAGGTATTTGTGTTCAACATGTAAGAAGTAGAAAGTTCAGGTATTTGAGTTCAACATGTGAGAAGTAGAAAAGTACAGGTATTTGTGTTCAACATGTAGAAGTGAAAGTAACAGGTATTTGTGTTCAACATGTAAGAAGTAGAAGTTCAGGTATTTGAGTTCAACATGTAAGAAGTAGAAAGTACAGGTATTTGTGTTCAACATGTAAGAAGTAGAAAGTACAGGTATTTGAGTTCAAAATGTAAGAAGTAGAAAGTTCAGGTATTTGAGTTCAACATGTAAGAAGTAGAAAGTACAGGTATTAGTTCAACATGTAAGAAGTAGAAAGTACAGGTATTTGTGTTCAACATGTAAGAAGTAGAAAGTACAGGTATGAGTTCAACATGTAAGAAGTAGAAAGTACAGGTATTGTGTCAACATGTAAGAAGTAGAAAGTTCAGGTATTGAGTTCAACATGTAAGAAGTAGAAAGTACAGGTATTTGTGTTCAACATGTAAGAAGTAGAAAGTACAGGTATTTGAGTTCAACATGTAAGAAGTAGAAAGTTCAGGTATTTGAGTTCAACATGTAAGAAGTAGAAAGTACAGGTATTTGAGTTCAACATGTAAGAAGTAGAAAGTACAGGTATTTGTGTTCAACATGTAAGAAGTAAGAAAGTTCAGGTATTTGAGTCAACATGTTAAGAAGTAGAAAGTACAAGGTATTTGTGTTCAACATGTAAGAAGTAGAAAGTACAGGTATTTGAGTTCAACATGTAAGAAGTAGAAAGTTCAGGTATTTGAGTTCAACATGTAAGAAGTAGAAAGTTCAGGTATTTGTGTTCAACATGTAAGAAGTAGAAAGTTCAGGTATTTGAGTTCAACATGTAAGAAGTAGAAAGTACAGGTATTTGAGTTCAACATGTAAGAAGTAGAAAGTTCAGGTATTTGAGTTCAACATGTAAGAAGTAGAAAGTACAGATATTTGGGTTCAACATGTGAGAAGTAGAAAGTACAGGTATTTGTGTTCAACATGTAAGAAGTAGAAAGTACAGGTATTTGAGTTCAACATGTAAGAAGTAGAAAATACAGGTATTTGTGTTCAACATGTAAGAAGTAGAAAGTACAGGTATTTGTGTTTCAACATGTAAGAAGTAGAAATACAGGTATTTGTGTTTCAACATGTAAGAAGTAGAAAGTACAGGTATTTGAGTTCAACATGTAAGAAGTAGAAAGTACAGGTATTTGAGTTCAACATGTAAGAAGTAGAAAGTACAGGTATTTGAGTTCAACATGTAAGGAGTAGAAAGTACAGGTATTTGAGTTCAACATGTAAGGAGTAGAAAGTACAGGTATTTGAGTTCAACATGTAAGAAGTAGAAAGTACAGGTATTTGAGTTCAACATGTATGAAGTAGAAAGTACAGGTATTTGAGTTCAACATGTAAGGAGTAGAAAGTACAGGTATTTGAGTTCAACATGTAAGGAGTAGAAAGTACAGGTATTTGAGTTCAACATGTAAGGAGTAGAAAGTACAGGTATTTGAGTTCAACATGTAAGAAGTAGAAAGTACAGGTATTTGAGTTCAACATGTAAGAAAGTAGAAAGTACAGGTATTTGAGTTCAACAGGTATGAAGTAGAAAGTACAGGTATTTGAGTTCAACATGTAAGGAGTAGAAAGTACAGGTATTTGAGTTCAACATGTAAGAAGTAGAAAGTACAGGTATTTGAGTTCAACATGTAAGAAGTAGAAAGTACAGGTATTTTGTGTTCTAGCATGTAAGAAGTAGAAAATACAGGTTTTGTTCAACATGTAAGAAGTAGAAAGTACAGGTATTTGATTCAACATGTAAGGAGTAGAAAGTACAGGTATTTGAGTTTCAACATGTAAGAAGTAGAAAGATACAGGTATTTGAGTTCAACATGTAAGAAGTAGAAAGTACAAGGTATTTGAGTTCAACATGTAGAAGTAGAAAGTACAGGTATTTGTGTCAACATGTGAAAGTAGAAAGTACAGGTATTTGTGTTCAACATGTAAGAAGTAGAAAATACAGGTATTTGTGTTCAACATGTAGAAGTAGAAAGTACAGGTATTTTGTTCAACATGTAGAAGTAGAAAGTACAAGTATTGTTTCAACATGTAAAAGTAGAAAGTACAGGTATTGTGTTCAACATGTAAGAAGTAGAAAGTACAGGTATTTGGGTTCAACATGTAAGAAGTAGAAAGTAAAGGTATTTGTGTTCAACATGTAAGAAGTAGAAAGTACAAGTATTTGTGTTCAACATGTAAGAAGTAGAAAGTACAGGTATTTGTGTTCAACATGTAAGAAGTAGAAGTACAAGTATTTGTGTTCAACATGTAAGAAGTAGAAAATACAGTTATTTGTGTTCAACATGTAAGAAGTAGAAAGTACAAGTATTTGTGTTCAACATGTAAGAAGTAGAAAATACAGGTATTTGTGTTCAACATGTAAGAAGTAGAAAGTACAAGTATTTGTGTTCAACATGTAAGAAGTAGAAAATACAGGTATTTTGAGTTCAACAATGTAAGAAGTAGAAAGTACAGGTATTTGTGTTCAACATGTAAGAAGTAGAAAATACAGGTATTTGTGTTCAACATGTAGAGAAGTAGAAAGTACAGGTATTTGAGTTCAACATGTGAAGAAGTAGAAAGTACAGGTATTTGTGTTCAACATGTAAGAAGTAGAAAGTACAAGTATTTGTTTTCAACATGTAAGAAGTAGAAAATACAGGTATTTGTGTTCAACATGTAAGAAGTAGAAGTACAAGTATTTGTGTTCAACATGTAAGAAGTAGAAAGTACAGGTATTTGTGTTTCAACATGTAAGAAGTAGAAAGTACAGTATTGTGTTCAACATGTAAGAAGTAGAAAATACAGTTATTTGTGTTCAACATGTAAGAAGTAGAAAGTACAGTATTTGTGTTCAAACATGTAAGAAGTAGAAATTACAGGTATTTGTGTTCACATGTAAGAAGTAGAAAGTTACAAGTATTTGTGTTCAACAATGTAAGAAGTAGAAGTACAGGTATTTGAGTTCAACATGTAAGAAGTAGAAAGTTCAGGTATTTTGGTCAACATGTAAGAAGTAGAAGTACAGGTATTTGAGTTCAACATGTAAGAAGTAGAAAGTACAGGTATTTGAGTTCAACATGTAAGAAGTAGAAAGTACAGGTATTGTGTTCAACATGTAAGAAGTAGAAAGTACAGGTATTTTAGTTCAACATGTAAGAAGTAGAAAGTACAGGTATTTGAGTTCAACCTGTTAAGAAGTAGAAAGTACAGGTATTTGAGTTCAACATGTAAGAAGTAGAAAGTACAGGTATTTGAGTTCAACATGTAAGAAGTAGAAAGTACAGGTATTTGAGTTCAACATGTAAGAAGTAGAAAGTACAGGTATTTGAGTTCAACATGTAAGAAGTAGAAAGTACAGGTATTTGAGTTCAACATGTAAGAAGTAGAAAGTACAGGTATTTGGTTCAACATGTGAGAAGTAGAAAGTACAGGTTTTGTGTTCAACATGTAGAAGTAGAAAGTACAGGTATTTGAGTTCAACATGTAAGAAGTAGAAATACAGGTATTTGAGTTCAACATGTAAGAAGTAGAAAGTACAGGTATTTGAGTTCAACATGAAGTAGAAAGTACAGGTATTTGAGTTCAGAAAGTACAGGTATTTGAGTTCAACATGTAGAAGTAGAAAATACAGGTCTTGAGTTCTAACATGTATGAAGTAGTAGAAAGTACAGGTATTTGAGTTCAACATGTAAGGAGTAGAAAGTACAGGTATTTGAGTTCAACATGTAAGAAGTAGAAAGTACAGGTATTTGAGTTCAACATGTAAGGAAGTAGAAAGTACAGGTATTTGAGTTCAACATGTAAGGAAGTAGGAAAGTACAGGTATTTGAGTTCAACATGTAAGAAGTAGAAAGTACAGGTATTTGAGTTCAACATGTAATGAAGTAGAAAGTACAGGTTATTTGAGTTCAACATGTAAGAAGTAGAAAGTACAGGTATTTGAGTTCAACATGTAAGGAGTAGAAAGTACAGGTATTTGATGTTCAACATGTGAGGAGTAGAAAGTACAGGTATTTGAGTTCAACATGTAAGAAGTAGAAAGTACAGGTATTTGAGTTCAACATGTAAGAAGTAGAAAGTACAGGTATTTGAGTTCAACATGTAAGAAGTAGAAAGTACAGGTATTTGAGTTCAACATGTAAGGAGTAGAAAGTACAGGTATTTGAGTCAACATGTAAGAAGTAGAAAGTACAGGTATTTGAGTTCAACATGTAAGAAGTAGAAAGTACAGGTATTTGTGTTCAACATGTAAGAAGTAGAAAATACAGGTATTTGTGTTCAACATGTAAGAAGTAGAAAGTACAGGTATTTGAGTTCAACATGTAAGGAGTAGAAAGTACAGGTATTTGAGTTCAACATGTAAGAAGTAGAAAGTACAGGTATTTGAGTTCAACATGTAAGAAGTAGAAAGTACAAGTATTTGAGTTCAACATGTAAGAAGTAGAAAGTACAGGTATTTGTGTTCAACATGTGAGAAGTAGAAAGTACAGGTATTTGTGTTCAACATGTAAGAAGTAGAAAATACAGGTATTTGTGTTCAACATGTAAGAAGTAGAAAGTACAGGTATTTGTGTTCAACATGTAAGAAGTAGAAAGTACAAGTATTTGTTTTCAACATGTAAGAAGTAGAAAGTACAGGTATTTGTGTTCAACATGTAAGAAGTAGAAAGTACAGGTATTTGGGTTCAACATGTAAGAAGTAGAAGTACAGGTATTTGTGTTTCAACATGTAAGAAGTAGATAAAGTACAAGTATTTGTGTTCAACATGTAAGAAGTAGAAAGTACAGGTATTGTGTTCAACATGTAAGAAAGTAGAAAAGTACAAGTATTTGTGTTCAACATGTAAGAAGTAGAAATACAGTTATTTGTGTTCAACATGTAAGAAGTAGAAAGTACAAGTATTTGTGTCAAACATGTAAGAGTAGAACAATACAGGTATTTGTGTTCAACATGTAAGAAGTAGAAAGTACAAGTATTTGTGTTCAACATGTAAGAAGTAGAAAATACAGGTATTTGAGTTCAAAATGTAAGAAGTAGAAAGTACAGGTATTTGTGTTCAACATGTAAGAAGTAGAAAATACAGGTATTTGTGTTCAACATGTAAGAAGTAGAAAGTACAGGTATTTGAGTTCAACATGTGAGAAGTAGAAAGTACAGGTATTTGTGTTCAACATGTAAGAAGTAGAAAGTACAAGTATTTGTTTTCAACATGTAAGAAGTAGAAAATACAGGTATTTGTGTTCAACATGTAAGAAGTAGAAAGTACAAGTATTTGTGTTCAACATGTAAGAAGTAGAAAGTACAGGTATTTGTGTTCAACATGTAAGAAGTAGAAAGTACAGGTATTTGTGTTCAACATGTAAGAAGTAGAAAGTACAAGTATTTGTGTTCAACATGTAAGAAGTAGAAGTAAGACAAGTATTTGTGTTCAACATGTAAGAAGTAGAAAATACAGTTATTTGTGTTCAACATGTAAGAAGTAGAAAGTACAAGTATTTGTGTTCAACATGTAAGAAGTAGAAAATACAGGTATTTGTGTTCAACATGTAAGAAGTAGAAAGTACAAGTATTTGTGTTCAACATGTAAGAAGTAGAAAATACAGGTATTTGAGTTCAAAATGTAAGAGGTCAAAGTCAAAAGTCGTCAGAAAAATAAGTAGTGGAGTAAAGTACTGATACCAGAAACATGTACTTAAGAACAGTAAAGTATTTGTACTCCACTACTTCCCACCTCTGGTTTTCGGTGTTGTTTATTCACAAAGCACATCAGAGATAATCACATCAACAGGAAATGAACGTCACTCTGAATTACATCAGCGTATGTTTCATGTGTGTTGAGATGAGGAACAGACAGAGTTCAGAGGAGATTTAAATCTGATCCTTCCTGATTCGTTTTGGTGTTTTTATTTTAAATGCCTGCAGAAAGAAAAGGGACACATCTGTGATGCGTTCAGGGACATGTGTTTTACTCTCACAGCTGTGATGCGTTCAGGGACATGTGTTTTACTCTCACATCTGTGATGCGTTCAGGGACATGTGTTTTACTCTCACAGCTGTCGGTTTCAACGACTCAGAGATAAATCGTGTTTTACACCTGAGATACATTTCAGTGCTGCACGTACAAGGGATGTTAGAGTTTTACACAGATACACTGCTCTAGTGTTTTATCAGAATACTTTCTTCAACCCAGGGGAAATTGGGTTTGTAGCTTTTTTTAATATAACATAAATAAAAGATGAATAAATTAAAAAAAGTAATACAAATATTTAAATAAACACGAAAAAGTAAGTAAAATCCAATAAAATGATAAAATATAAGAAATAAAATATATAAAAAATATAATAAGAATGTGCGATAAAATAGATAATAGATAAATACAATTAAAGTTAAAAACAAATGATAATAAAATTCAAAAATTCAAATAGAAATTCAAATTGTATTTAATATTAAATTAACATAAAAATAACAAAAGTAAAATAAATGTAAAATATAAACATAAGAAGTTATTAGTAAGTCACATTATAATGTAATTAAACATCGTAAATCCCTAACTTTACAGTATTTTAGTTTAATATATTTACTTGTAGAGGGAAGATGTGGTTTGGACTTAAATCATGAATCTACCCGACAACAAGAGGAGGAAGAGGCTGCTTCAATAAGTAAATAAGCTCGAGCTTCGTCACTCCACTTGAAAGTGAATCGCAATTCATTCATTTCTAAATCAATAACATCTATTTCACTTCCAGGTTCAAAAGACGGCGGGCGGGAGATGAAAGCGGAGCGGGAAACAAAGACAGAATAAATCAATGGCTGACTCCTGTGCGCTAACGCAGACGGATGTGTTGTCGTAAAAGATCAAACGAGACACAGGGAATAATTATAAGGCTCGTAAAGTGATGGGTTCAATTTTAAAACAGAAGTAAGCACATGACCTTCTTCACAGCGAGGTGATGGATGGAGAGGAATTGTGTGTGTGTGTGTGTGTGTGTGTGTGTGTGTGTGTGACCTTTTTCTCCGTGGTGATATACACGTGTTGCAGGTCGGTATCGAACAGCAGGTTTTTGTTGACTTTCTCCCCGGTGACGTCGCCCGGCGCCCGACCGTAAACCTCGGGGTGAGCGGACAGATGTACCTTCAGCACCTGCAGGGAACACACACACACACACGCACACACACACATTATTAAAAAAATAATATATGTATCAAATAAATAAAATCATATTTGAAAAATAAATAAATAATGAAAATGTAAACAAAATAAAATAAAATCCATAAAAAAGAAATCCATAATAATAATAATATAATAATATAAATAATATCTTCAACATAATGGATTTAAAAACATAATAGAAAAGTTCATACACAATAAAAAAAAATCATTCATCATCGTTTAGTTAAGATTAAATAACTGTTGAGTTTAAACAGGTATCAATTAACTATATAAGTTATATTTCTAGTTTCTAGTTGATACCATAAGGAAACATTAATGTCTAAGATAAATAATTAAACTGTTGTTAAATTGCAAAGACACACAGCTTATGGATAAAGCAACATAAGGAAGTAAGTAATGGTAAATAAAGTCAGTCTCACCTCTCCAGTGGAGGTGCCGAGGAACGCCACAGCGTGCGTCATCTCCACGGCTACAGCCACGGCGGTCATGTGACCTTTACGAGCCAATGGGGGCTCAGATGTCAGGGCGAACTCCGCCTTACTGGCCAATGGGGAGGGCAGGAACTCAGCTCCACATGGATACTTGAGCGTCATGTTGACCTGAAGGAGCAGAGCAGGAATCAGTGCTGAAACACTCAGATTATCCGTCTTTTGATCACGTAAAAGTGAAGAGTTCTCACATGGTTTTTGCTGCTGCACAGCTCCTCAGATTTGGACGAGTACGGTGAATATACGGCGCCCTTTTCGTTGATGATGCCGTTGTGGCTGTAGCACGCTCCGATTATCTCCACCAGCCTTTTGTTGATGGAGCGCAGCGGATACATGCCTACAAATATAAGAGAAACAACATGATTTACACTCAAATATTAAACATCTGAGGCCATGTTGTCTGTTATTCGGCAGCACATCACTCCCACCCTCATCCACCTCCACTGGTTGCCGGTCAAGTCCCGCATATCCTACAAAATCCTCCTCCTTACCTACAAATCCCTCCATGCCCTTGCCCCCCAGTACCTATCGGACATCCTTCACCCACATGCCCCACCCCGGAACCTGCGGTCCTCAGACTCTGGCCTGCTTACCACCCCCCGCACCAAACTGCGAACCTACGGGGACAGAGCCTTCAGTGTGGCAGCCCCCACCCTCTGGAACGCTCTCCCTGCGGAGATACGCAACATCCCCACACTTGAAGCCTTCAAAAGGGCCCTCAAGTCCCATCTGTTTGCCAAGGCTTTCGGCCCCTAAATCGATCTGTTGTTCTGTTTGTCTGTCTTTTGTTTTGTTAGGTTTGTCTTTGCACTATTACTTGTGAAGCGACCTTGGGTCCCCTGAAAGGCGCTATAGAAATCGAAGCTATTATTAATTAGAATGTGTAAAATCAATGCGCAAATCCTGCAAAATCCTCAATTTTACAGTCTTATTTTTATATAAGTCAAATGTGATAATGCTATCGTGTAAGGACGACATAAACATGGGAATATTGGGGGTTTGTATTTGAATAAATCACGCTAAACAAAAGGATATTTACAGATGTGTGTGACCATACTACTGCAGCACCGAGTATACTGTAGGAGAAATGAAACGCCATCATGTTCTGCAGAGCCACTCAGAATAAAAAAACGCAAATTATAGTATTATAAGTCGTACCTTAAAGAATTGGCAACTAATTCAAATGGTCGATAACGGTTGTTTTTGGTACAAATATGGTATTTTGGTGATAAAGTCAGAAAATGTGTTATTTGATCCCTTAATACTGAAAATGTAGCTTCTGTTTGTGCAACATCCTTTAGAGCAGTGGTTCTCAACTGGTCCGGCCTCGGGACCCACTTTTTCCTTTGTGAATAAATTGCGACCCGAAATTTTGAACCACTCAAATCTATTCAACAACAAATCGTGCTGTAATATATACGCCTTGCAGCATACAATATTAATGAAAGTGAAGTACAGTGCATATATCCCTTATATCCCTTCACAGAACTAAAGTATGCTTTTAATAAGGTTTAATGAGATGATGGAATCAAAGCTGAACTACATGCTGAAAACCCAACCCCAGCAGGGGGTCTGGGGAAATATTAACATATAAACTACGCATTCTGATACTCTGAGAAGAAAATAAATAAATCTATTACTACCCGACATATTAATATTGTATGCCATTGTTTGTGTTTCATTTTGTTCTGACAGCTTGCTGCGAGAAGAGTAAAGAGGAGAGAGTCTGTGTGACTTACTTTAGATTGTGGGTAAGGGTAGATAGCTCCCATTGTTCTGTGACCTGTCAGTCATCAAACCGGGGGTCATATTTCATTATGTGTTCATTGTTATCTGAAGTTGTACCCATGGATGTATAAAGAAGAGTTATACCGCAAAGTTATTCTCCGTGGGGACTTCCGGCAACAATCTTGATTCTGATTGGCCAGAAGACTCGACAAAACATCATCAAAGATGTTTAATTGAGAAGATGTTTTCAAAACCGTTTATGGCCTCCGGTACTTCCAGTCCAACGCCTACTGCTTGCACAGAGTTAGAAAATCGGGCCTTCAAAATCAAAGTTTGATTTTTTTCCCAAAAAGAAAATTCTTTTTTTTCAATTTTCTTTTCTTCACTCACACATCTGCGACCCATTCGAAAGGGGTCTGCGACCCACCAGTTGAGAACCACTGCTTTAAATGAAGCCTTCTTATCTTTGCTACCAGACAAACAAACCAAATTGAATACCAGGAACATATTTGCAACAAAAACATTTCCCAAATTGGGATTAATAAAGTACATTTGATCTTATTTCAGCTTCACGATGAGACTCACACATGGCGGAGGTGGAGGGGTCTTCGTCGGAGGTGAAGGTGACGAACAGGACTTTGTCGGAGGCTGAAACCTGTCCGTACTGTCCCGACGCCGTCATATTCTGAGCCAACACGTCTCCTGGAGCTGTGACGTACGCAGCCTGCGAACAAAGACGAGGATAACAAAAGATGTTAGAGATCAATACTGAAATGATGTACAATACATTCAAGCCATTCCAGGTTTAAGAGCATTTTAAATCCACATGATATTGATATTTAGGGGTGAGGTATGAAGTCATCACTGTAAGACAAAATCATGCCATGTAAAAATTCCATAAATGTGGAATGCTGCCCTTTCCTAACAAAATGCTAAAGTGGCATTTCTATTAATTATTCATTCATAATTTTCTGTATTTAATTATTGATTCTACATTTGTTTTGCTTTTACTTTTATTTAAAGATGTTGTTTTGAGCATCAGGACTGTTTGAGGCATATTATAGCTATGTGATTAACATGATGATCCAGCCTCTATGGAGAGAGACATCAAGCATGCTCATTTCTGACGTGGAGCTAATCTGAAGTAAACATTGAATACTGCTTTCTATTCCTCCATCTTGTGACTGTGTAACTCCCTCTCTTGGATATCAGCATGTGAAGGACACTGCTCAGGAACTACTTGATGCTCTGTATGTGATGACTACTTCCATTCTGGAGAGGATCACAGATACATGGATCCTGA